AGGTGTATAGACTAGGGCGTTAGTCCCAAGATAAGCCAACTTAGCGGTTGGCACAGTCTATACACTGAACAATTACAATTACAATATTGAAGAATCATAAAATAATGCAATGGAAGGCTCTTACCGAATTGTCTCCTATGTTGGTAATGATTCTTTTGCGCTTAAAAGTTTCGTTGGATGCATCCGCTCCTTGTTTATCATGGGGTTTGGGATGTAGTTCCTCGTCATTGCTCGTGGTTATGTTTAGTGATGTGATGGAGATCATTTCTTTCACTAGAAACTACTGCTGCGAAAACAAAGAGAAACAGAAACAAAACAAAACAAAAACACCTCTTCCTCAATCGTAAGCGTATCAGCACTAACTATGGGTACACCTAGTCCCAACCACAAACTAGCTACTATCATAGAGGTAACTCTAAGACTAGAAGGTTCTGAAATAACGTGCTAAACTTTTTTGCTCAGCTCTGGTACGCTTTTCGGTCCCAAGCTAATCGATTCACCCCTCGAAACATAGGAAAAACCAATAACCCCTCATTTTACCTGTCAAACTTTCATAGCGAATCAAAACAAACATTGCGTAGTACTAGGATTTCGACTAGAATGGGGTACGTTAATCGTTTGCTTGCCCCGTAACGTGGGTAGATCACCTTTTCGTGGTACGTTACGGGATGTAAGATCTACCACCGATTCCTAGTCCTGACTACTTCAAACTAGGGGAACAGGATTTTCAGTAATCCAAGGAACGCATCTTAGTCCTTGTTACTTTTTATGTCTTTTGATAGTGACAAGACTCGGCTTTGTCCACCGAGGATGATCTTTAAACAAGGAAAAAAATTAGTTAGTTAGTCTTCATATATGTGGTTCCTAATCTTCTATTCGTTGTTCACTAGTTTGAAGTGGTTAAGACTAGGGTTCTGATGCATTGTCATTATCGGTGTCATACCTTAATTTTGTTGCTAAGGAATCCAATTTTGACTGACAAAGGGGCGCGCCTTTGGAGGGTGTTTCAACACTCCTAAGGGTATAAATAGCGGGACCTGTCAATTAGAGTCGGATCCTTGCGATAAAGGCAAGAGTGGCAACTGTAAAAAAAATCGAATACTTCATCATTTCTCAATAGTGATGGAGTAGTACCAACAATCAATACGAAACTAACGATTTTAAATTGGCTCACCACTTTAGTAGCCTATTGGTCCCAAGCAAACGATTAACGTACCCTATTCTAGTTGAAATTCTATTACTACACTATGTTTGTTTTGATTCGCTATGAAAGTTTGACAGATAACATCAGGGGTGTGTGGATTCATGCAGAACATGCAGGGGTGAGTGAAATAGCTTGGGACTGCTTGGGACCGTTGTTCTGGTACTGAGTGAGCCAAAAATAATAATGATTTTCTTCGGGACCCAGTGGTCTTAGAGTTACCTCTATGGTAGTACCATAGAGGTAACTCTAAGACAGGAAGGTCCCGAAATAACGTGCACAACTTTTTGGCTCAGCTCTGGTACTCTCTTCGGTCCCAAGCTAATCGATTCACCCCTCGAAACATAGGAAAAACCAATAACCCCTCATTTTATCTGTCAAACTTTCATAGCGAATCAAAACAAACATTGCGTAGTACTAGAATTTCGACTAGAATGGGGTACGTTAATCGTTTGCTTGGGACCAATAGGCTAGTCAAGTAGTGAGCCAATTTAAAATCGTTAGTTTCGTATTGATTGTTGCTACTATTGCAGTCTTCTGAGAAAATATCCCCACTACACAACCGACAAGTCACTTCAGAAAAGAGTCGTTTCGCCACCACTATATATGCAACTTCCTAACCCCACAAATTGCCCCCACTAGATGCTTCTAAATAAGAGTCACCAGCCCCGATGTTGAGCACCAAAACACAATGAAATTCTCAGCACAGTCGTCTGCTGTGGCACTTTTTCGTGATCGTTTACTCAGTCAAATATCGCAAAATTACACTAACTTCCACTCGGTTCTTCAACGGTGCACTATTGTCCTACTTCTGCTGCACCAGAATGTTACACTATATGCTTCGAAATACGGAATAAAACTGATTAATTTTCATACAAATTTACTGCTGCAGCACAAACCAATAGAACAACGAAAAGGCAAATTTAAAAAAAATTAACTGAGCGTTGCAACGCGTTTTTGGAACAAACGACACCTAATGCAGCGGAAATAGAAAAATTTGATAATTGACATTTATTGTACATTTGAACACCACTTTTTTAAACCGAAATTGTAAAAGTTTATCATTTTATAAGAACGAAAAAAAACGCCGCAAAACACGTCATATTTGCAGCGCGGCCTACTTCGATCTGTCTTATTAATCGACATTATTTTTAAAACATAAACTTACTTTTGAAGATCAAAGTTTGAAGGCAGTTTTTTCATAAGGAGGAACTTTTTAACTATAAATAGCATCGATGTCGATACAGGCTGACAGTTTAAAACGTGCACTTAAAAATTATTTAGTTAAAACAATAAAAACAACTTCTGCATTCATTTGAATCTTTTTAGTGAACTGAAACAAATAGAAATCTCGTATTAAATAACAAAATATTTTGTAAATTTACGCCTCAGTGTTTTTTCTGCGTGCAGATTATAGATCTTAAGCCACTTGTAAAACCCATAAACACACCTTTAAAAAGAACGTGTAACAACTCCTTTCCCCTTATTAATAAGTAGACGATCCTATTTTTACATCTTTTCACAATCAAAATAATCTAACAAATCCTAGGAATTCTATCACACAAAAAATAAATCACATTTCCAATGGAAAATATCCATTAGAATTTCACATAACTTTCATGTGATCTCATAATTGGGTTCTTTAAGGGTATCGGGGCATATTCGTTATCTACACTAAAAATGGAACCCAAACCCAAAATTTCTTTAATTTTGGTACACTGGAACTATTTTAAATAAGTACGATTACATTTGCAAAAATCACCTTATTAGCACCCCTCGGTCTCACTTTGTATGGGATCGAGCAGTCAGTTTGCCAGTTTAGTGTCAAACAGTGAAATTATTATTTCGCTTTAAATCTTGATTTAAAAATCTAGATGAAAGTGTGTGGGTTCGAAAAAAATATCGCTGTGCTCAGAAAACGAAGCTCTTTCAGAACCGATATATTTTTCAAAATTAAAGAACCCAATTGGGAATCGTACCACAAAATCACATGAACCTTATGTGTCCAATGAAGTTTATGTGATTTATCACATACAATTCATGTGATCGTATGAACGTTATGTGCATTTCATAAAAAATAATTAATTTTGTTATTGGAAATTTTGTCCGTTCCCAATGGAAACTATATGAAAACTTTTTTTCAGTGTAAAGGTACCAATTTTTTTTTAAATTCATCAAGAATTGGCTGTGCCCAAATATATATTAACAATATGATCCACTCTTTCGCTTAGCTGGCGAACAGATTTTTTAGCGATGGAAGCACCTCTGTGGCCAAAAAGGTTACCAAGGGGCTGTTCATAAACTACGAAGACAGGTTAGGGGGGTGTTGACAATTATCCATGACCCATGGACCCATGGACAATTGTCTACGCAGGGGGAGAATCCAAAAAAAAAACTGTCTACGTAGTTTATGAATAGCCTCCAATGTATTTGTTTATCGTCACGAGGGGTAAACCAAATGAAAATTTGTTTAATATTTCAAATGAATGTATTTCAGCATTTTATTTTATTTGATGACAACAGTGACATGTTAGACAAATTTTAAAGTAGTATACACAATGTAATTAATGAAAATAATTTGACTCGAGGGGCACGCAATACAAATAACCGGTGCTTTCAAGTTAAAATGTAATCAAAAGTACTTAAAATAATTAATGCGTTTTGAAATAGTACTGACGGTAATTAAAATTATCCATCCGTAATTAATATAATTAAAAGTATTTAAATTGTAATTAACGTACTTAAATTACGAAATTTCAACTGTAATTAATGGAGTAAAAAAGTAGGTAATGTTCTAGATTGTTTAATTAATGTAATTAAAGCAGTTGTTAATGGAATTAATATAATTACAGCCGTTGCCTGCGTTGGAGTTAAAGGTTATTGCGTGACTCTAGATTTGACTCTTACTTTTGTAATAAGTGCTATATTCGCAGCCCTCGATTGTAATTGAATGATTGTTGCTGACCTTTTTCAACGCTAGATGGTGCGTGAAGCAATATTTTGCGGGTCACCATTGCAACATTTGGAAAAGGCATGAATGGATCATATTGTTAATATAATATATTTGCTATGCCGTTACACGTTTTTCAGAGGCATCGTATTCAGAGTGAAGAAATTCGGTACAGAAAGAAACTAAACACGCGAGAATACAGAATATTTTTACTGCAACCTTATTCTTTCCTTTTTATTTAACGTCGATCTCTGTTCCTCAATCTAGTGCCAATCACCGACGGACATCGATTGCCATACATTGACGGCAATCGAATGTGCAGGAAGGCAGCTTTTACACACCTGCGTAGCATATCGCACCCATTCAACAAACATGGGCCGGGACCAACGGCTTTACTTCCCTTCCGAAGGAAGACGTGACCAGAGATTTTTAAGCCTCAGAAAAATCCCACCGACCTCGGCTGGGATTGAACCTAGGCCCATTGGAGTGAGAAAGCAGTCACGCTTACCACTTACCGGCGCCGGCTGTCTGCAACCTTATTGCAGAACGATATAACAAGCGAACTTGTTCTGAGAAGAATTTCGATTGGATAAATTTTGGATCTTATTTCTCTCTATACGGTGAACCTTCGTCAGGTACGGGTACAGCAGATTCATATGACGAACTAAGGAGAATACAGTGAACAGGTGAACATTGCATCTCGACACTCCTCTTCGATGAGTAAAATCAGCCATGATAGCGGCCATTTGTGGATGGCATCAATCTTGCCCTTAAATAACATTCACTCTAAGCAAAGAATTTCGGACACAACATGATCCCATTTACGGTTCCAATTTATATCAGTAATGTATTCAATATTGCATACCTTCAGTAACAACTAACATAGAATAAAATCCAATAAATACAATTTACTCAGCATCGATCTTACCTTGTTCTGCATCGCTCACTGCTACCTCACCACAAGCTTCCGCTTCCTGGGGACCCGCCGCAATCTGCAGCACCGTATTGGCCCCACTATCGAAGCTGACCTTCTTCTCTATCGCAGGCTTCGCCGCCGCAACTCCATTTCCATTGCCTCCAATGGACGAAGCACTAATCTTACGTTGGATTCCTCCGAAAGGATCACACCCGGTCCCACTCAAGTTTACGCTGGACAACAGAACGGAAATCTGCTCCGCCGAGGGACAACTAACGATCGTCAGGTCGTCTTTGCTATAGGAATTGGTGGTCAACAGCTGTTCCAACTTGACAAACGATCCGATGATGTTGTTCCGGATCGGCCTAAACAGGATGAACTCCGTATCCTTATTGGCCAGGTACAGTTGCATGGAGCGCTGCAATCCACCCAGTTTGGTTTTGATGTTGCGAATGCTTTCCTGGATGATGGAGCTAATTTGCTGCGGTGCGGCAAAGGCAGCCATCCGCAGGGCAAGGCCTTGCTGTTTTGCTCCCGGTTGTTGGTTGGAACCGGGCGCACTTTGCTTCACGTGGTTCTGCGCCGTGTCGATAAAGTTCAGAATCGGACCCACCAGCTGACGGGTGGCATCCCTGATAAACATCTCGCAAACCGTTTTCAACTGACGGTCGACGTCCTTGCGAGAATCCAGCAGTTGTTCCTTGACCTAGAACGAATGGTTGCTAGTTAGAGAATCAGTTTTAAAATAAGTACAGTGTTCCAGACCAGAGGAGTTCCATCCAGCAAGAACTCCAGAAGAGCATTGTTGGATCCCAAAGCGAACAGTTGTTTTCTCTTTTGCAGCAACTCGTAGGCAGCCGTTTTCACCTTGCTGAAATCCAAGCTGGTTTCCTTGACGGTGAAATCGACTCTGAACGGGGCGATCTGCTCCCGCAGAATTAGCAAATGCTTAATTTCGAACAGTTCCCCGTCGATAGTGGTCTTCTTCTGGCTGATCTGTGCGGCAGCGTTCGTAACGCTCTGGATGCAATAGGCCAGCGCCTGTTGGGACAAGCTCTGGAAGATGATCCGGTCGATGCAGCGATAGAGCCGCGAAAGACATACCAGCGTTCGACGCACCGTCGGGTACCACATTCCGTGCAGATCGGCTGGTGAGTTGCTGGCCCGTGATTTGGCCGCCTGTTCGGCATGCTGATTGATACTTTCCACCTCCTGGGATGCTAGCGAGGCCATGGAAACGATTGAACTGCGCGAATCAGCACGCCGCAGGTAGTTCTCCTGCAGCGACAGGGCAATGCTTTCCATCATCTCCAGCTTTTCCGGATAGGCCAGATCGCCGGCCGATGGTCGGTAGTTGAGGATGTCCGATTCCAAGTAGTTTTGCGCCCGGAAACCGATCCGTTCCTGGACGTCCTGCAGCAACTGGTAGACAATCTTGGCGAATGCTTCCAGGGATTCGGCTGCGAAGAGAGGTGTTTGGAGTTAGTGAGCTGGGATCGTAGTTTGAGGAAACATACACACTTAATTTTTTCTACCGAGCTCGGCTGTGCAAATTTCGGCAAAACAAGTTTTACTGGGATCTCAGCAAACATTTCATTTGTTTGCTGAGATTCAGCTAAGCATTATCCGGGACTCAGTAATCAATGTCACTTTTGTTAAGATCTCAGTGAAACTTATTTTTGCCGAGATTTGCACAGCCCAGCTCGGTAGAAAAATCTAAGTGTGTATGTTTCGTAACTTCTTATGAAATGTTTAAGGTGAAGTTCGAGGAAATATCCAGAGATTGACGAAACTTACAAGGAGAAAATAAGAAAAATCAACCAAGGAACCTTTCAAGAGGAAGTTTTAGGAAACATCCAAAGGGCAGTTTGAAGAAACTTCAGGAAGAAATTTGAGGAAAGTTTCAATGGAAACCTCCAAAGTGAACTTCACAAGAAGAAGAAGTTTGAGGAAATTTTCAAGGTAAAGTTAGAGGAGACTTCCAAGAGAAAGTTCGTGGAAATTTCCAACGGGAAGTTCGAGGAAACTTCAAGAAGAAATTTGAGGAAACTTTCAATGGAAAATTTGAATAAACTTCCAAGAGAAAGTTTGAGGAAACTTCAAAGGGGAAGTTTGAGGAAACTTCAAAGGGGAAGTGTCTAAAGAAGAAGTTGGATGAAACTTCTAGAAGAAGTTTGCGGAAATTTCAAGAAGAAGGTAGATGAAACTTCAAGAAGAAGGTCGAATTTAAAACACATTCTAGGAAACTAGTCTGCCTTACGATACTTACGATTATAATTCACATGCTCATCGAGCATCTCCACCCGAAGAATGCTGCAAATTTCGGCCAACGTCTCCAGGTGATCGATTCGAATGATGAAAGGTCTAAGCGTGTCGTACAAAATCGTACAAAGCCCCTCCATATATGCTCTGAAACGAAGAAGACCAATCAGCTTGCAAATTCTTCCCAACTTAGGACTCAAACTAACGTCAGCTGCGGACTGGGATTTGTGAAGAACTGAAAGAACAGCCGATGTTCATCCTGACAGACGTGCACCATGAAGGCACATGCCGACCGAACCAGGGCACAGTGGTCCCCTTTGTGCTTCCGACTGAGATCCCGGATTGCTTGCTCCACACCCGAGCTCATGATCTACGGTCAGGAACATTTATAAAAAAAAATACTAAATTCAAGCTTCCCCAACCGAATCATTCTTACCGTCGCCCTATTGGACAGGAATAGCTGATGCAGGGACGCCAGCAGCTGCTCATATTCTGTGCTCCGATCCAGCCTGGCCTCGATCGTCCCCGTAATCCTCTTAACCCGGGGTGCCGAAGCCTGAAATTTCCCGTAGTACAAAGCAAATGCCGCCTCCGACCCCTGCTCCATCGTTTCTCCCGTACCGATTGTCGTCGTCGTAGTCCGTGGACCCAAAATCTGCGCCGTCGCATTAATCAAAATATTGCTAACATAATTCCGCATCATCTGCGTCGCCTTGGCGAGACAGTTCCTATACTTAATTCCATAGGCGAACGCTTCGCTAAAGCCCGGATTAACCCGCATGTACTCCAGACAATCATCGATCGTGTTCAGGATGTCCACAAAGGTATCATTGGACACCGAGAACGTTGGATTCTGCAACCGCTGGTAGATACTTTCCGCTTGGGTAAAATATTTCAGCCGCCGTCGGATCTCCTCGCCGATTTCGTTCAATTTTGTCTGATCTTGCAGCAGATTCTCGCTGGCCTGATGCAGCGAGGAAGTCTTCTCCGACACAAAGTTGTACTCGCTGGTCAGTTTCTTCAACGAATCCAGCGACACCTCGATTTCCTCCAGCAGCTTATCGCACTCGGCCGAACGAGCCTTCAGCTGCTCGTAGTAATCCAAATAAACGTCATCAAAGTGTTCCAGTATCTCCGAATCGATCGAATTATACCACGACAGGAAGTCCTGCGTAGAATCAATCACGCTGGTGGAACTCTTGAAATCGACCAGCGTTGTTTTGCTCTCCAGGCTAAGCTCCTGACTTTCCGCTTCCGCCTTCTAGGAAGAAAAACATTTCCAATATTCTGTTGCAAATTGAAACAATTAAAACACAACTTACGCCAGGAGATCCACCGCACAAACTATCCGCCAGTCGATTGATGAACTCGTTCTGGGCGGTGCTAAGCGGAGCCAACGGGTTATCCTTCTGTTCCCACTGGAGCAGTTTGGCTTGGATTTTTCTCAGATTGGCATTTTCAGTTTTCATCGTTGCGACGTCGTCCATCGTGTGCCACCGACAGGGAATGGATTTTTCACCACAATTTTCTAAAGGGAAAACTCAAATTCCGCCGGCAGCGAAAACAGTCGTGGCGATTTGGTTTGTTTTTGTTTATCTGGCTCTGCGAGTTGGAAGTTTTCTACTTTTTATTATTTTCTGACAGTTTGTTCTGCTGGCCGCGGCACGAATGGGGATAGCCCATGAAGGTCGAAATAACGATGATGCCACCAGATGGCTGTGTTTACACGGCGAATGAGAACGACCCAAATTTAAGTCAAGTTAATTTATAAATTACGTACAGTGCGGGACACAAACGAAGTGACCGGGTCTTTTGGGGATCAAAATTTGTTTAGGGACCGTGCTTCCGAGTAAACCAATCGATGTGGCAGAGTGCTTTCATCGAAGATCTTATTATTTATGGAGTTCAAAGGACCACTACCGTGAGCTCGATCATTGCATTTCAGAGTAGCAGTGTTAGGTTTTAGATATAGTATGTATGTATGTATGTATGTAGAAAAATAATCAGTTGGATTGATAGGAGCTAGGACAGGAGCACATATGTGATTGGCAGGGAATGTGGTGGGAGTTTAAAGGTACTGAAAATCCATCCCTTTTGATGATTTTGATTGAAACTTAAAATCGGTTTCGATCGAAATTAGTAATAGAGGTGACTTTTCAGTACATTTAACGGGGCTTATCACATATGTGCTCCTTTCTATCTTGTTAGTTAGCAACTTCCAAATTTGTCGATCTCCAATATAAGCTAGGTAGCAAGGAGGGTCGTATCACATTTACCGGATTTTCATTTCAGAATGGACCAATATTTTCGTTTTCGAATATTTAAATTAAGAAAGCTTTAAAAAATATATATTGAAATGGGAATATTTCGTTCTTTGAGTGTTGATTACGTTGTTTTTGTTTTTTGTCTTTTATGTTCGTTTGTTTATTGTTATTTCTTTAATTTGATATTTGAATAAAGAAGGCAGTATTCCCATTAGCAAAATTTAGAATGTACATGATTTTAGACTTTCATGTAAATGGTCCATTTTGGGAAATGAATCTCCGGGAAATGTAATACCACCCTGATGTAGAATGGTAATAATTAACATTTTCGCGCCCCTTGCCGGAGGACCTTGCAGAAAACAGAGAACCAGCTAAATTCAATGGTTAGAGGCAGTCGATTACGGTACGTACACGCGAACGGACTGGTTTAAATAAATCTGTTTCTATTTAATTCATATGTGAATAATTTAAAGTTGAATCCGAAAGTGTTATTCTTGTGGGTGAACTCTACAAATTGGCGCAGCCGGTACGATTCGAAGGTTAGTAACACTAAAGTTATTTACAGTGGAATAAGCGAGATAATAAAAAAAAAACCTAATAGTAAAAAGTTATTAACCCATGATGGCCGATTATTTTTCTCTTCATCTGCAATGATTCGTGGTTAGCAGTAATATGCAAAGTAAGCAGGGATTCTTTCACTTATTTTTTTTGGCCAAATTTACAGTAAAAAAAAAGAAAAGAGAAGCGTAATAAAAGATGCGGGTCCGGGTGAAGACCGTAGCGCCAAACGGAAAAAAAAACTTCAAGATGGAGGCCAATATTGAAACTACGAAGTCGAGTCTGCCTAAAAAAAAAAAAAAAAAAAGCGAGACCGGTTGACGACCGCAGCGCATATTTTTTAAAAAGGAAACGAGAGAAATATATATATATAGACAGAGAGGGAGAGAGAGAGAGAGAGAGAAAGAGGAAAAGATGCGAGATCGGTTGACGAGCGCAGCGCACACATGATAGAAAGCGAAAATATGAGACCGATTCAAAACCGGTTATGTACTGCGGACACACAACGACCATTAAAACAGTAATCATTGCATATGATAGAAAGAGAAAAGTATCCGATGAGTAGATATGAGAATATTGCCTGTGCAAATCCTGGTTTTCTGTGTTAGCTGTATGTATAAGTGATGGATGAGTAAAAAAAAATGACTAGGGTGGATTTATAACAACAGCAAGCGAGACGCCGAAACAGGTTTTAGCGAAAAAGTGTAGTGGTAGTATAAGAGGTAAAAGCAGCTCAGGTTTTTAAAGTTTCACTGTGATAATATCATATGGGTTGGTAATATTCAGTCATCAAACAAGTAACTACTGTGTATGAGTGTAATACAGATGGTGCTGAAAAGCGAAGGCTATAAAAGTTTTGTTTTTTTTAGCTTGCTGATGGATTCGGAAAATCAGTACCATTTGGACCCATTTAATGATGCTACTGATGCTTCTAACCTTCGTCGAGAATGGGAAGAATGGCATAGAGCATGTGAAATTGTTTTGGAACTAAAACAGATTCAATCACAGCACGAAAAACTCCTTTTTCTGTTAGCTCGAGGTGGAAGAGGTCTGCAACGAATTTATTATCATCTTGCACCAGTTTCGGGAGAAATCTATCCAGAGCCAGTGAAGATTCCCCTCGCACCACAAGATGTTCCAGAGTATGACAATGCTGTCAAGCGTCTTAATGCTTTCTTCGTGGGAAAACGGAACGAAAGAGTTGAACTAGAAGTTTTTCGTTCACTTCGACAGACAGCTGGAGAATCTTTTAATCGTTACATGCTGAGATTGCGCACTCAAGCCGCATGCTGTAACTTTCAAGGTCGTGAGGAAAAGGAATTGCTGCAGCAGATAACCGTGATAACCACGCAATTGACGAGAGAGTAAGAGACAAAGGTCTCGAGAGCACCATGAATTTGGATGAACTTGTAAACTATGCGATTAATCGTGAAGTTTTGGTAAAACAGAAGGAGAAAATGCAACCGTTTAGATCAGAAACCGGTGCGGTAGCATTGATCAAACAGGATTGTGGAAGGAAGACGATGCCAGTAAGAGGATTTACTTCGCATTCATACAAGGGTGAGCGTAAATGGGAAAGTAGCGGACGATCAGCCACTGAATGCAGTCGTTGTGGCTCTTGGCGACACCTGCGAGAGTCGAAAGATTGCGTTGCGCGAAATGCTACGTGCCATAAGTGTGGTGAAATAGGCCACTTTGCGAGGAAGTGCTCAACCGGCCGGAATAGAGAATCTAAGGCTCGTTATTCCTGGAAGAAAGCGGATGCTACCAATGCTTTGCGAGATGGGAGCGGTCATGATTCGGAGTATCAGTCTCGTCATGGTATGCAGAATGCAGCAACGAAGGTAGAATAAGTTCATTTCTTCAAGTTTCTTTTTATTTTAAACCTTTTTTATTCATATTGATAGTTGTTGTTTCGAAAGTTCATTGAAATAAACAATGAATTCACGTTAATAAACTAATAATGACATTTTTAATTTATTTGCTAGGCAAATGATGGAATTATCGTGGGATTTATTGATCAACTTGCAGTAGAGTTTCTGATAGACTCTGGGGCGATAATTAACACAGTTACCGAACAAGTCTGGGAAAAGCTTGTGGCTAGCAACGCTAGACTCTTTAAGAGGAAATATCAGTGCGATCGACAATTTACGGCATACGCCTGCCAGGATCCACTGGAGGTTGTGGTCATCTTTGAAGCATGGGTTACGATAAATGAAACGAAGCCTAAAAGTTATGCTGAGTTTTTCGTCATTCAAGGAGCGCAAAGATCGTTGCTCAGCAAAAGAACGGCTGAGGACCTGAAAGTTTTGAAAGTGGGGCTTGAGGTTCAAAGTATCGTACAGAATAAACATCCATTCCCGAAATTCCCCAACGTACAGGTGACATTATCTATTGACCGTACGGTACCCCCTAGGAAGATAGCTTACCTAAGAATTCCTATAGCGATGGAAGAGAAAGTCAATCAAAAACTTCAGCAAATGTTAGACACTGATATTATTGAACCCGTTTTTGGTTCTGCCGAGTGGATCTCACCTATGGTGGTAGTTCCAAAGGGAACTAACGATGTCCGTATATGCATTAATATGCGATACCCTAATCAGGCTATAAAGAGGGAACATTATCCGCTACCACTTATCGATACACTTCTCAATAAGCTAAAGGGAGCGGTTGTATTTTCCAAGCTTGACATTACATCAGCATACTATCATGTGGAATTACACCCAGAATCGCGTGAAATAACCACCTTTATGACGGGTAAAGGCCTAATGCGATTTAAGCGATTGATGTTTGGCATTAATTGCGCGCCCGAGATTTTTCAGCGGATAATGTGTGAAATGCTTGCTGGTATCGAAGGCGTAGTAGTTTATATCGATGATGTTGTTATTTGGGGAACAACACGAAATGAACATGATGAGCGGCTTCAAAAGGTTCTGGATGTTTTTGAAGCAAACCATGCTTTGCTGAATAAAGAAAAGTGTTTATTTAGAGTGGAAGAGCTTGAAATACTAGGGTTCAAAATTAGCGTGAATGGAATTTGCCCAACAGACGACAAAGTTGCGGCTATTCGGAACTTCAGGATGCCAGAAACAAAGGAGGAAGTGCGCAGTTTTCTGGGGTTGATTAATTTTGTCGGACAGTTTATGCCACATCTATCATCTAGAACCGAAGCCCTTCGACAGTTTATCAGAGGGGAAGTGGAATCATTCGGTGTAGACCAACAAAAAGCTTTTGATGACCTGCGCAATGAGCTTTCGAACACCGTACACCGTTTGGGATTTTTTGACCCAAAAGATCTAATCGAGCTATACGTGGATGCATCCCCGGTTGGTCTTGGCGCTGTTTTAACCCAAAAAGACAGTTTGAACAAACCAAGGATAATCTGTTTTGCCTCAAAGGGCCTTACGAAGACGGAGAGAGTTTACCCGCAAACACAGCGCGAAGCCTTGGCTGTCGTATGGGCGGTGGAAAATTTTTACATGTATTTGTTCGGAGTACACTTCACTGTGTTAAGAGATGAACTAGCCTCAGGCTAAAAATCTCTATAATAAAGAAAAAAAAAAAAAAAAAAAACTTCACTGTGTTTACCGATCATAAGACGCTCGAATATATTTTTGGTGGAAAGCATCAGGAAGGTAAACGTGCTTGTACGCGAGCCGAGGCATGGGCATTACGGTTACAGCCTTTTAATTTTAAGGTGGTGCATGTTCCTGGATCCGACAATATTTCAGATATCTTCTCGAGGCTATGTCCGCAGTCAGATGCACCATTTGACGAAGCATCAGAACACTATGTTTGTGGGATAAGCGAAGGGCCGACAGCCATTACGCTGGATGAAATCAAAAAGGCAACAGATCTCGACGAAGTGCTTAAAGGAGTTGTCAAATCAACCCCTCGGTTTAGACAGGACTTGGATGTAAGTTTTTTTGTTTAATTTGATGGTGTTTCCAAGTACTGTAATACTTATTATATATCAGTTCGTCCCAGGTGATACCTTCAAGTGACTAAAATGCTTCACTTTGAAGTTAGTTTCCTAGCTGATTTATAACTTACATAGGGTATAAGCTTCAACTATGCTCACACGTTTCCACTATGTCACACCACAAAATTACGTATGGATATGTCATAATAGAAGCACGCCATAGTGGAAATCCCGAGCCACAGTTCAAACACTTATCCCAAATCAAAATGCAGCACATATAAGATTAGTTACAATACCATGTACAAAAATGGTGTTTAACATTGTTCCCTAAGTAATACTTCAATGAAAACAACAATGAAAGCCCGTCACGCAAGTAGAAGGAGCACCGTTGGGCGCCCTCTTAAATACCAGCAACTCCCGTACAAACCCATCTGTGTAAAAATAAATAAAATAAGAGTGATTTGCGGAAAAAAAGCAAGTATCGCACCCAACGTAACCAACCGTCTCCAACACTCCACTATAAAGCATGAAATTAAGCCCGCCCACCAACAGCAAGGTGCAAAAACTAGCCAAGGGGTGGGGTCATTGTTTACAAAAGCTGTTACGCCTTAATTCCAGCTCTATCTAGAATTTTGACAAACACCTTCCCAAAAATTTGAAGATCAACAACACCCGCATAATACCGGACCTTTTCTTGACCTTACCAAAAATGGTTCAAAAGTGGTTTGTATTTCCTTCTAAACTTCAACTGAAATGGTTATGGAACTTTACGTGAACGTTTGGGTGATAAAATTTTAACCTTAAGTATGTTTATGTTTTTATTTTAGTGAACTTTACAAATAATGGGTTGTTAAGAATCATTACCATTCCAAATTCTTGTTTTCTCCATACATTTTCGGAAAAGAAATTATATTAGAATATTTTTATTTATGATTGAGAACTTTAATCGTAATGGTTATGGTAGTCAGTAAGGTCCATGGATGGTAATAGTGTTCTTTTTTTCTGTATTGCGATGATTCGAGTCCCTTCGACATTCCTGACTTTGTTCGATCTTGATTGCCGAACCCTTTGATAGAAACTTTCGACACTTTCCCCTCCGTCATTTGACACTAATCTGCTGTGTTAATGTTTTGAATTTTACGAGAATTTCACAACACCGGTTTCGAAAAACTACGCTAAATTTTGTAATCCAAGAAAACTGTTCATGCGACAGGGCCTACCCCGTGTTTTGATTACATCATTACTAACACAGCGTAGTTTATTTTAATTGTCAATTTTCAAATAGTCTCATTCCTCTGAGTGCAATGAACGACATCCGTCGCCTAAAGGAGCAGCAACGTGAAAAGCATCCCGGTTTCGGTTCCTATCTGGAGTGCATGACCCGGGCCCTCTTCACCGGGTTGGCTACTTTTACGCTTGGTATGTTACAATACAAGATATAGAGGATACTGATGTTAAATCATGTGGGTTTTTGTAGGTTTTTCGGGGACGTACTTCCTGCAGAAGCTTCTATCAAAGAGGCTGCCGTATCCACAGAAAACCATAATCCTAGTATCAACCATCATCGGTACCGGTGCGTCGTACAAAGTAACTGCCGATCGCACCAAGTCCTGCCAGGCAGGTTGGATGGCCGCTGAGGGCAAATTTACTGCCCTATCCAATCCGGAAGAAGACGACCGATCCGTGTAGTGAGCCGCCAGATGGCCACTAACTTCATAAGGCGTTGCTCCCCACTCTTGAGGGGAGCGTACTGGTGGAGATATGCGCCGCAAGTGGAACGCATTTCTGAGAATTTTAGATGTAAATACACGGATGCCAATAAGTTTAAGGGATTTAAGGGGAAATATAAGGCAATGGCGGTTGGAGCGGAGGAAGAAGATGATCGAAGGGATGATTCGAATCGGTTCGATCTGGATGACGCCGAATATGATGCGGTGATCAATAGTGCAATGCACGTTCAGAAGAGGGTTCAGAATGAGCAGAATGTCTTGGTGATTCAACCATATGTTAAATGGGGACCGAAGAGAGCGACAAGCCAGCCAGAGCATCAACTTCAGGAAGCTGAAGCCCTGGTTCGCTCTTTGCCTAAGTGGAAGGTTGAATGTAGCTTGAAGGTGCCGCTGGAGTCTCTAGAAAAAAGGCAGCTTTTCGGAGCAGGGAAGCTAGAAGAAATTAAAACGATGTTGATGGATTTACAGAGCTCAGGAAAATTGATAACGTGCATCTTTATCAGCAAGGGAACGCTCACATTTGGACAAAAGCAATTTTTGGAACAACATTTCAAGCTTCCCGTGATGGATCGCTACTCGATGGTGATCCAGATCCTGCGATTACATGCCATCAGTACTGAAGCGAAGCTCCAGGTTGCAATGGCAGAAATACCCTACATTTGGTCACAGATGAAGGACCAGGAGTCGACGGGTTCCAAGGGACGAGTCTATCTCACCGAGTCTCAGAAGCAAATGTTACGACTCAGAGAGCGCAAGCTAAAGAACGAGCTGGCTACTATTCGATCGCATAGGGAGTTGCTACGGAACAAACGCAAGCAGAAAGCTTACCCCATTGTAGCCGTCGTTGGATACACGAACGCTGGTAAGACCTCATTGATCAAAGCTCTAACGGAGGAGAAGTCCCTGGAACCAAAGGATCAACTATTTGCCACATTGGACGTAACGGCTCACGCCGGTTTGCTGCCGTGCAAATTGGAGGTACTTTTTATGGATACCGTTGGCTTCATGGCAGACATTCCCACCGGGTTGATTGAGTGCTTCATTGCTACCCTGGAAGATGCCATGCTGGCCGACGTGATCGTTCATGTTCAGGATGTTTCGCACGAGAATTTCCTCGAGCAAACGAAACACGTCGAAACGACGCTCAGTTCTCTGCTCAGGTCCTCCGGAATGACCAACCAACCACAGTTGGACAACGTTATCAACGTTGGTAATAAGGTGGACCTTTTGGCGGCAGATTCAAACGGTTTGAAGGGCATCCATCTGGTATCGTCCAAGACCCTGCACGGCGTGAATGAGCTGCTGGTGGAGATTGAACGGAGGGTTTTGGAAGCAACTGGACGACAGAAGATAATCATTCGTGTTCCGATGGGCGGCGCGGAGGTCGCCTGGCTGTACAAGAATGCTGCCGTGACGGAAACGGCCGCTGATCCCAATGATAGCCAACGGATGTTGGTCAGTGCGGTCATTACGGACGCGAAACTACAGCAGTTTAGGCATCAATTCGTTAAGCGTAGAGGGTGAATTACATGTGAAGGGGTAGAACATTGTACGGAGAGAGAAATATAATAATTCTAGATGACTTTGAAATGGATGTTTCTTGCACTAATAGACTGAAAGCACTTGTTGATTCGAGGGAAGAATTTACTCAAACAAATCACCTAGTTCGAGCACATTTTCTAACTAGTGTTTCCATTTACCGGCTACGTTTGGCTTGCCGGGAATCGGGAAACAGTTAATGGCGCTTCCCGGGACGTTCGCCGACGGACCCACGGGAGTTTTTTTTTTACCCAGAAGATGATGATACCAAATTCTCCCAGAACAGAATTCTCTTCCAATTTCCCTAGAAATAACCCATGGCTTCTTAGAACAGCTCAGGAATGAGGAATAAGCGGTCCAGCGGTACTAAGCAGCCATGGGCTTCTCTTGTTTCAAGCTTGGAAGTTGTTTTTCAGCTGAATTCACTTGGGAACAGTCTAGGAACTAACAGAAGCGCACCAACATCCGGAATGAATATAGACGACAGCATCATCAGATCTTAACCACTAGGAATTCCGGCTTCATTGTGTAGATTCTCATTGTCGCACAATCAAGGCCTCAAAATATCCACCACTGTCAGTTACACATTGTCCGGTAGATGTAGTCTGGTGAAAAAATGACGTTTCAATGAAGACGAAACTATGCCTGGATGCATGCCTACTTTGATCAGAACATCAGATTTTCACGATTTCCTCCCCCACGCGCATCACCTTCCAGACGCTACCATAGTAACACCTTGTTACACAATTTTCGCCCACTGAGAGTCTATATAAGGAAGACTGCTGCTGACAATCGTCAAGAGGCTTCTGAGGTTGTTTCGAAACAGACGTGTGTACGATCCCAGTCATCCAAACAACACCAACGAGTAAAATGTTTGCTAGACAAAAAAATGGTCGTGATGTCGGGCAGACCCGGTCCGGCCGGAATGCTAGACCGGTAACTCTGCCGGCCTTCATGCGTGCTGACCCTGATGGCAAGCTTGCGGCTATATATCAGCGCATAAAGGCGGCTTCAACAAAGCCCAAGCTACCAACAGGTCAGGACCGCCGTGAAATGGTGAAATCACAACCGGCGACCGATGAATATGTCAACGTAAGGTCGCCGGTTCGTGACTACATTCGACGGCCATTTTGCCCAACGGCTAGCAAACAAATTACTGGTGAGGGATTTTGGAGAAACGTTCTACCGGTTCCACAGAAACGTTACGAAACGACCCAGCATGCCTCAACTGCGGATTATGGTAAGGTAAATGTAGATGTAGATGATTTTCAAGATGTAGATAACGCTTTTAATGAGGAGTTAGTAAATAAGGTAGATTTGGATGGGGAACCATCAAATGTTTGTATAGGTTTTAGGTGCAGCAAAGCTGATTTAGATTCAGTTTTTACAGCAGGTATAGCCGAGGTACAGCGCTGCAAAACGACGTCGGCAGTTTTCGAAGCGTACGCCGAAACATTCCATAACATTTTGGAACGTACGACGTATGCAGCGAGTACTGCCGACGCTTCTACGCAGACTTCAATTCCCAAATTGCAGCGTTCACAGCTGAGTCTAGTGTACGCTGGATTTTGGGAAAGCTGTACCTGGAGACAAAATCGAAGTATGCAAACCGAACAGGAGGAACAAAATTTGACGTTTGCGGAGCAGCCTACTGCGATGCTTCTCGAAAATTCCAGTGGTCCAAACCAAAATTGGGTACAAAAGATGTTTGGTTGGAAATCTTTTGGCATGTCCTTCTTGGTTTCGGCTGTGTTCCTCAGTTTGATGGAAATTCAAAATCTGTTCTAGCAGTTTGGCTTTGTATTTTTGTGATTGTATCGAGCTCACTGGTGGCCCAACGAATGTCATCAAAATTATTTAGCTTCTCCGAGGACTTCTGAAGAGTATAAGGTGTTGTAGCCGGGTACAAATGAATACTTTGAGCTACCATCTTTGCTCTGACGAATTCCTCGGAACCCATAAACACTAAATAGGGACCATTTTGACGGACAAAATTCGTTTAGGGACCGTGCTTGGATGGCTCAATGCCATCCGAGCAAACCAATCGATGTGGCAGATCGAAGATCTTATCTTATGAAATTTGAAGGACCACTACTGTGAGCTCGATCGTTGCATTACGTTGCATAGAAGAATGTTTTAGAAAAAGAATATAGTTAGAGTTACAGGTTGAGGAAAGGTCTAGTTAGATAGTTAGCATGCAAAAACATCAGATAGATTGATAGGAGTAGCTAGGACAGGAACACATATGTGATTAGCAGGGAATGTGGTGGGAGTTTAAAGGTACTGAAAAGTCACCCCTTTTGATGATTTCGATCGAAACGGGTTGCCGATACACAAATTGTATTGAAAAATTGGTTTTGATCGAAATAAGTAATAGAGGTGACTTTTCAGTACATTTAACGGGGCTTATCACATATGTGCTCCTTTTGTCTTGTTAGTTAGCAACTTCCAAATTTGCCGTTTTCTAATATTGGCTAGTTAGGAAGAAGGGTGGTATCACATTTCTCGGATTATAATTTCAAAATGGGGTGTTTATAAACATAACATGTTTCGCAATAGTTTTTGTTTTCGGATATTTTATAAAAGAAAGCTTTCAAACTTTGAATAAAATGGGAATATTTCCTTCTTTGAGTGTTCATTGCGTTGTTTTGTTATTGTTATTTTCATCTGTTATTTATGTTTGCTTATTGTTAATTATTTCATTTATTATTTGAATAAAGAAGGTAATACTCCCAATGGCAAAATTTTGAATAAAGATTTAAATATTTCCGTTTTGAATGCATATGAATGGCCCATTTTAAGAAATCATAATCCGGGAAATGTGATACCACCCTTCGAAGCTTTTTGACTCAGTTAGGAGCTAGGACAGGAACACATATGTGATTGGCAGGGTATGTGGCGGGAGTTTAAGAGTACTGGATTCTTTGTTCAGTACTTTTAACGGGGCCTCTCACATAAGTGCTCCTTTATTCTTGAAAAACAGGAAAGAAAGTTAGTAGCTTGAGTGAATGTGTTAGTAGGAAAGAGCTAGGATCGGAACAAAAATTTAATTAGCATTCAATGTTATCCCAAATTTGTCAATTAGAATTGCAATTGTGCATTTCAGGGTAATATTTTCAAGTTAAAAAAACACTCCCATCAGATGTAAGGATGCAAGTGTTTACTATTGGCTATAGTGCAGTAAGTGTATCAATTTACCATTAGCGCAAAGCATTTTTAAACCACTGATGCTGGCGCCAACTAGTATTGTTTTTACTATTTGGGCATCACTTGATTCAAGAGGATTAGATCCGCCATTAGCACAAGGTGGGTATCGTCATATTCACCTCGGTTTGCTGTAGTGATTTGATATGACGCACTGTATGGAATAATTTCAACCTGAACCATTGGTCCGGAATGTCTACCGGAGAACCCGAAATAGATCGTGGAGCAGTGGAAAAGGTGGTTGCGCCTATCCTGCGGGAAACAGTAAGAATTTGGCTCACGATAAGCTTTACCAAAACGATCTATATGAGAACCCGAAATAGATCGTGGAGCAGTGGAAAAGGTGGTTGCGCCTATCCTGCGGGAAACAGTAAGAATTTGGCTCACGATAAGCTTTACCAAAACGATCTATATGATCTCCGGTAGGCAACGTGTTAGACATAGTGGTGTTGGTGTGTGTCTAGAGGCCCTTATAAATCAACTACAGATACTGTGAACTCTCTACAAGTCAATGTAGCCCCAATGATGGATTAACATAAAATCAAAAGCGAAGGTCACAAATTATAAACAAATATAGAAGGGACCATTTATTTATAGAATAACAATCCCATACAAAATCGCTATCACAGAAGCCATGGAATTCATTTTTACTATGGTTCTTCTATGATTTGAGTTGAGGGAGTTAACTGTATGTCTTAGGTCCAATTCAGTTAGCATCTGAGATCTCATATGCCAACTACGGGTTGTTCTCAGGCTTGACGGACTCTGAACTTATCCTGTAATAGGAGCGGTGTTTCCGTTCAATTGCAGATAGCAACTCCAGAGGCCTTTTGAGTTAACTTCAGAGAGCTTATATGTATGTCGTATGCGTTTGAGGCCATAGGGGATCAATTAAAATGTCTTAAAAGTCTACTTCAGAGACCTTACAGTGTATGTCCAGACCTAATGGGTCAATTCCAAATACAAACTCCAAAGATCTTGTGGAAACATTGAAGTCTTATGAATCAACTGGAGGTCTTATTATTCATCTTTGAAGGCCTAAAACTTGACTTCAGAGATCTTAGAGCATAGGTTCAGCCTCTTGAATCTTGACTTCGAAGACCTTACGGGAAAATTACAGAAGCTTATGCGATTGCTCTAAGAGACAGGTTTTATGAATCAAATTCAGTGAGCTTTAGGGTCAGCTCCAGACATTCTTTGGGTCATCTGCATTATGGCCAAAGTTCGGATGTCTTGAGTACTAATCAAGAGGCACATCATGGTTACACTTAGAACCTTTTTTTTTTTTTTTTTATTGGGTATCAAGCTGGAGCTGCGTGACAGCTTAGTTTTCAAGACTTGACCCATTGAATAAATTTTGCTTCTATCTTTGACAATACAGCAGAAGGACTAGCCTATGTTGGCCGCTTGAACACTGGATTCCGTATGTATTGTTTCAAGATAGTTATAGAAAAAATGCTGTGACGTGTGCGCGTAGATACATCCGCGTAGTAAACCGACTGAATGAGTAAATCCGTTTAGAACGAAATATCTAAATTATGTAAGTTACGAAAACCGCGCGAATTCCGAAAGCCGTGCGAGACAACCGAAGCGAGAAAAAAGGCTTATTATCATTTAAAGAGTGCCACCAAAATAAATGTGATAGCCTATGTTGGCAAGTTGATTAATTTTGGTTTCCTCCCTAGATATTCTACTTACTTACTGCTGAGCTTTGTATCAAATTAGTTAATTTAAAGAACGTATCAATTATTTCAAGATTTCGCGACCGCACCGAACAAATTCTATGAGCTCAAAAGCGTTTGACAAACTTTACCGAATTGCG